GCTTGGTACACATCGCCCACAGTATTAGAAGTGATTACGATAGGCGGCGTGAGCCAATATGAGCCACAACAGGCATGGCTTCATTTGGTACACATCGCCAGGAATAATGACAAATTTCAACCCTGAGCGATGTGCACCAAATGCGGCCACGAATTTTACGTGACACAATGACAGAACATACCGCTGCAGAGCTGCACACAACTTTTCTCCTTGCTATCTGCCGGGTAACTGAAGATATTCAAGTTTGAACCTATCGCCCGTACGGCATTCGGGCCAAATCAGCAATCGCGGCAAGGCGGTCATTTTGATCGGGGTTCGTCGTCGTACTTCACTCGCAGATTGCACCAGAAAATCATGAAATAATACGAGTATGAAACATTGTAGTTATATGTGTTGCAACTGATCCTCTTGGGCTAGTTCATATAAACTAATCATATATTAGAATATAAATGGTTCTTTGCTATGAACTCCTTCATCTGAAATTATTCTAATATTCAAGGACTTCAAGAAGAAAGATGAAACCTACTTATCTTAGTACCATCTTCGTGGGAAGTGAGTGTGCTGGAATAAATCCCAGCATTAGCTTAACTATTAGTTTTAGTTTTAATATTTTTTAGTATCCGCGTACACGGACAGGCTCGTTCCGGAAGCAGCCGTACTTCTCCCTGCCGTTTCAGGTGAGAAATTTGCATCAACAATCGTAACTATCGTAACAAACATGATGTAAAAAATCGCAGAAGTTTGCAAATCATTGCTATTGAGATTCCAACTTCACCGGATTCGTATAAAATTTCAAATTGATTAAAGGGGATAACATAAAGGAAACTCCTTTTTATTCTTTTCAGGTTAATAATTCTGTATTTCCCACAAATAATTCCAGGGTGGTTACATAAACCTCAACGTATTGAGAATGAAATGTGGTTTTGATAAAACAACAATAATCCCAAAAATTATCAGCATTGCCAGTGCCAATAATCAAGCTGCCATGGATTCAAGCTAGTTTCTTAATTGTTTATTCAGCTCATCGGATGTGTAGTTATTTCAAATTTTGGACGGCGGAATTAAATTAATGGAATTCAACAACGTTGTATGGAATTGAAAACCCGATTAGAACCAGTTCCTGCATCTTAATTATACAGGGTGTGGCAGAGAAACTTGCTTATTTGAAACATATATTACAACAACACTATTGAATACATAGAAATAAAATTTTCTATAGCATAATCAAGAAGAAGTAAATTCTACAATTTGCCAGTTTCAAAGATGATATCATGCGAATGATTAATGACGTCCGTTATTGTCAATACATTATGTCAGTCGTGTCCGAAAATTGGTGTCGACTCTCACCAGCATCGCACGCAGCCTCACGAGCATCGAAGTCCCAAGGAATCAGTTCCTGGGCGACAACAATCTTTTAAGGAGGAACTTCAATTCCTCACGAAGGATCTGTCTAACTCTAACAGAACGAGCTGATCGATAACCCAAGAACTGATGCATGCTTGCGAGCAGATCGTCGCGGAGACCTCAAGATGGATTGCCGCACCGCTTCGATGTTCTGCTGAGACCTTGCAGTCCTATGGAGCCCAGGCTTCTTCTTCTCCACATCTCCAGATTCCCTGAAATTCTTAACCCATGAAACGATTGCCTGTCGTCCTGGAACACGGCCTCTAGGTCCCACATGCAAGTGCCGACGAAATGCTCGCCGTGTGGCGATGATTTATTTACCACAGGCAAAATATGCCTCAACTGCAAAAGCACGTTCCAGTTCGTCCATTCCATGACTATTGCAAAGAAAAAAATAAAATAAATTAATGCGGCTCATCTAAAAAAAATTGTACAGTTTACTCTTTTGATTAAGGCCCTCCTTAAAGTTATCGTAGCAAATCACACTTCAGGAAGGCTAATTCAAGTAAGCAAGTTCCTCTGCCCCACCGCCATCCTGTACATGGACGAACAACATACAAGGCGCCAGAGAAGATTGCTAGAGGCTTAGCGGAAGTTTAGAATGGATATATCAAACATCGTTTAGGATAATTTGTCCTACATGGATTCAAGTTTTTCGATAATACGAAAAGCCTTTTGCGTCTTAGAAATGAAATGTAGTTGTAGACATCACTTCAAACCAACTCCACTCCCAGTGCCTCAAATTGGTTGGTTATCATCAGTCCTTGTGTGTCCAGGCCAATGCGTGCAGCGACAATTTGAGTACGAGAGCTTCGTATGTGTTTGTGACGCGACGTTCTGTGATGAAGTTGGTGTGGTGGCACCGCCCGCTGCCGGCACCTACAGCGTCTACACGAGCTCCAGGGACCAGTTTAGGCTCGAACCGAGTTTTGGCAGCGTCGAAGATGCACGTGAGTAGAGAATAATTTCATGAGTCCCTACCGAAGATTGCGAAATAAGGCTTTTATTAATTAATAATAATATGATGAATAATAAATTTGTTGAAAAATCTTTGGATCATCAGTGAAGCCATTGCTTAGTGAACGTTCTATCTGGATTAATAATTGCTCTCCTCCTTCGACAATAAACATATATGTCTGCAAACTATTTCTTTCGGTATGCAGGACCCTGCGCCTAATATAATATCGTGTATAGTGGAGGCATACTTTTTTTAGAAATTTCATTACATAGGCAAAGTTCAGCGATGACCATAAGCGCTGAATTGCGCGATTGCAAAAGTGAACCTTTATTGATAAAGTGACATTCCACAAACATCTCAAGTGACATGCTTGTTCTGACTTGTTCTGGCTTATAGCCTCTGGCACCGCATCGATCGCCGTCAGTACCGCCAGTCGCTATCAGTCGATGATCGGCTTCGGCGGAGCCTTCACTGATTCCACGGGACTCAACTTCAACAAGCTCCCCGCTCAGGCTCAGGAGTTTGCTATCAGGTCAACTAGTGTTGTTTCAATAACATTTATTATAAAGTTTGTTTAAAATTATCCATCAGTTTCCTTAGGAGTATCCAGAATTTTTTTAATTGGTTGTCTAACTGAATGTTGATAAGATTCGAGCCCGATTATACGACGAAATAAATTTATTAAATTTACCCATATAAACAAATATTTAGATTTTTATTACTTTTAGCTCGAAATGACGCAGGTTGGGGCAAAATTGACTCATATAATCTGCATGTGGCTTGCAGAGCCTACTTCGCTCCTGAAGGCATCGGCTACAACATTGGGCGCATCCCCATAGCGGGCAGCGACTGCTCCACCCGCCCCTACTCCTACGATGACCACGAAGGAGACATCGCTCTTGAACTCTGGGCCCTCGAGCCCGAGGACTACGATTACAAGGTCTTGGTTACATTAAACTTTTGAACACTGCTAAGTCTGTTATCCTGTTGAGCAATGCATTAATTAATCTCAACCAGAATTTAATGATTAGTTGTATTCGCTTCATACATGAATTGAGGCAAACATTTGTGATATCACTGTCGGTTTCAGGTTTATTTTCCCGTTGTGATGAATTAAATGAATAATTTGATTTTTAATTATTAAAAAACACTTCTATAATGACTCAAATGTTGCTCCAAAACTGGCGTATCGAATTCCGGTATCGGAACTGTAAAATTTCTGTGATGTCTAGCATCGACGAGAGGCCAAACACGGCCTGTCGTTAATCATCAACTCTTACACCATAATAAATAATTATTATACTATTTCATCTTTCCAGTATAAAAAATTCTATCAGAATCTTGCAGGTCAGCGCTTTAAAAAAACGTATTAATTAACTGCACTCTTGAATTAGTAATTATATCAAGGATCTTGAAAAATTTCAGAGTTGTCTAGTTCAATAAACTTTTTCTATCAATCAGAATTCGCAATCACGTTCAACAACCTTAAGAATCATGTTCTTGCAGGTCAGCGCTTTAAAAAAACGTATTAATTAACTGCACTCTTGAATTAGTAATTATATCAAGGATCTTGTAAAATTTCAGAGTTGTCTAGTTCAATAAACTTTTTCTATCAATCAGAATTCGCAATCACGTTCAACAACCTTAAGAATCATGTTCATTTACGTCCTATGAAATATATGAAGCGAGATCTCTGTGTGCAATAAATTTCCTCGCGATCACAGTTTCCGTACCTGAAGCGCGCGCTGGAGATCAGCCCTCGGGAGATATTCTACTTCGGGTCTCCGTGGGCTCCTCCAGCCTGGATGAAAACCAACGGAATGTTTAATGGATCTGGCATCCTGCTTCCTGAGATGTGGCAGCCCTGGTCCGATTACATCGTCAAGTGAGCCCAAGTTTTTTAGTTTATAGATATAGAAAATATGTTTCCCAAAATATGCAATTTAAAAATATTTATAATTTATCGTCAATTTTCAATGGAGTGATAGTTTACTGCTAACATTTAGAACCAGAATAATTATTTTTTAAATAGAATATGGTTGCGACATGCATCATAATCATTAATCAGTTATACAGCTCTCATCTTCATCTGAAGTAATTTTGAGGTAAATAAAAGTCTATAATGAATCAATTGAATTTTTAATTCAAAATTCATGCGAAATGAGTTGCATGTTGCCCAGTTGAGAATTAATTAATCACACTATAATTTAAAATTATGAAGAATGAATTATTTTCCACAACTTGGAAATTGTTGTCGGGCCTGTGCAGATTTGTTGAAGCCTACGAGGCAGAAGGCGTCCCGATTTGGGGACTGACTCCGCAGAACGAGCCTCTTTCTGGGTATCAGGCGAGTAATTCTTATTTGCATAGTTAATCGGATTCATCGCGGTTGGGAGAAATAGTTTCACGTATCTCGTAGGGTTTTACGTACTTGTTTTGAACTCAAAGATTGTAATGAAATACCCAAAGATTGTAATGAAATAACCCCAACGTAAACGGTCGTATCCGAAAAAAAATCGAACTGGCTCATTTGCTACGCCCAACAAAATTTCGGAAGCCGGTACTAAAAAAGTCCCATTAAACTATTTAAATAATACCTAAGTGCATGAGGAATATCAAGCGATAATGAACGTCAATACAGGCAATACATTTAAACTGCAATTGCCTGACACAGTGGCACAGAGATATGCTAATTCAATAAATAAAGTGAGGTTGGGGACAAAGGACGGCAGAGACTCGCGTAAGTTCTAGCCTCTACAATAAAGCAGAATAGAACGGATGATGATTGTTCTAACTCCAACAAGACGCAGAAAAGATAATTTGTAAAATATGGACGCCATTCGACAATCGAGTTTTATTGGGTATATATGCTCATGAGAGTACGAGCTATAGAGCAATTTCACAGATTCCTTAGTGTTTAAACCTAATTATATTTTTTAGACAACGAGAAAGCAATTTATCTTTTAGAAATTTCCGCAAGTTATCGTATTTATCGTAATCACTGACAACAAATGTTTTCAAACTGTACCTCAAATGAGCGATAGGAAGCGACAAAAACTAATATATATCCAAAAATCTAAAAACATTCCTGATTTGGGTGCTGTATGATCGCAAAACATGGATAATAATTAGCTGCAAAGTCAGCCAAGAAATCGGTGTTAATAAATACCACCCTTGTAAATCCCACCATGCATGTCAGTGCACTCAAGAAAACAATTGATAATGCGTTCAATGATAGCCGGATGCCATCCTTATAAATCCTACCATGCATGTCAGCGCTCTCAAGAAAACAATCGATAATGATGTGCAGTACACATCAATGATGTGTATTGCACCCTCTATACAATGTATAATATAATAAGAGATGCACATCGCACAGGACTGGGGCTGGAACACGTGCGGCTGGAATGCGGAGGACATGCGAGACTGGATCAAACTCAACCTTGGCCCCACGCTGGAGGCCGCGGGCCTGAGGAGACTAAAGATGATGATCGACGACTTCAACAGAGATACTTTACCGGACTATGTCATTCCGGTAACTGCTTTGAAAGTCCATGCTATTTTAATTTTACTGCTATGTAGTCATGCNCACATGATAACAACAAAGAGAAAATCCCATCTCATGAAATAAAAATAATAATAATAATAAAGCGAAAGCTTGATCTTTTTTCGGGGTAACTTCAACGAAAAAAGCTTCTGGGAAGGTACACCAAAATTACGCATTCTTATAAGATGCACATTTTGTCTGTGAAAAGTTTCTGAGACGATACATAATTCGGCGTCCCACATTCACTTGATTTTGATATTATCGCCTCTACGCAAGCCGTAGTCGTTTAAAATTTATTTGACTACCAAGTTATTAGATGTTCTTCGTCATCAATTGTGAATTCGATTTGCATTGGCAGTCCATAAACGCTCGAGAAGATTGAAAATGGATTTAACGTCTTCGTCAAATCAACCAAAACCTACACAAGTCACAGACGAATAAAAAAATATGAGGTTGCTCATTGCGCTTGTCTTTCAATGATTTTATAAAACTCTCTGCCACAGTCCTTGGAAGACCCGGACTCGAACAAGTACGTTGACGGGGTAGCTGTACACTGGTACTCTGATACTGGCGTCGGACCGCAAGTTCTTGATCAGGCCCATGAAGTTGATCCCTCGAAATTCCTGCTCTACACTGAAGCAGAGGCTGCTGATTGCGCTTGTGTTACAATGATTTTATAAAATTCTCTGCCACAGTCTCTGGAAGACCCTGACTCGAACAAGTACGTAGACGGGGTGGCTGTACACTGGTACTCTGATACTGGCGTCGGACCGCAAGTTCTTGATCAGGCCCATGAAGTTGACCCCTCGAAATTCCTGCTCTACACTGAAGCTTGTGAAGGTCAGCAACTCTTTACTCAATTAAATGCACAAAATTTATATATTTAGAAGCTGCAGCAATGCAGAATTTTTTAGCTGTCATGAAGCCAGTCCGCTTATTAATTGTTTTATCGAAGAAGCTGTGAGGAGTAATGTATACGAACTACTTCAATATCCAACATGACTTCAGTAATCAAGGGAAGGGAAAATTTGAACCGGAAAACTGATAAATTGTTGTATTTTATTCAGGATATAACGTTGAAGGTGCCTTGAGTGTCATGCTCGGATCCTGGACTCGCGGAGAGCACTACTTTGACAACATCATCGAGGTGGCGAACACCATGATCTTTGAGTTGTGACCTGACAGGCTGCATGAAAGTGTTTATAAATAGAGTTGAAAATGCTAATAGTTATTAAATGAAATTAAAACTTCGTAATAATTCCATTCTGAGTATGAATGAGACAAAGATAATGGAAAGTTCAGTTGCCTAGGCAAAGTCACAATTTTTAATTTGCGTAGGACTTGAACCACTGGTCCGGAGGTTGGGTGGACTGGAACATGGCGCTCGACATCACTGGAGGTCCCAACTGGGCGAACAACTTACTTGACTCGCCAATCATTGTCAATGAAGTAAGCACGAATATTTTTATAGGGTATTATCCGTGAGCGAAATCCAAAATTATTATAGAAATTACTCGGTGCAGCTGCACTGCAAGAGAAATATCGTAGTTAAATTTGCCTTTGCTCTGATTGTAGGCATCTTTAAGAACAAATGGCTTTCATGTGTCGCAACTTTAAATGCTAGGAAGTTAAAGTTTCACTAAACAATATGAAAATAAGGAGAATTTATCTATTCTAGTACCACTCTTTGATTGACTCTCATACAGGTCTGCCGCTTCAGGACCTCGTCCTTTCTCCGTCTTATAATATTACCTAAGGCTTTCCGTTTTCACTATTTGAAGCCTTTTCGCCAGTAACAAACTATCCCTCCTCCCATGCATTGCTTCGTGTAATGTAGCTAATTTCAATACATTTGGCCCACCGCAGGCGACCGGAGAGTTCTACAAGCAGCCGACCTTCTACGCCATGGCGCACGCCAGCAAGTTCATCGAGCGCGACGGCGTGCGCGTTGACGCAATTCCTGACAACGGAGGACTGCGCTCGACTGCCGTTATTAATCCCGATGGCACCATCGTCGTTCTCGTCCTTAACAAGTGAGTTGCTCTTTAATATGCCTAATCACTTTACATCAAAAGCTATACTTTGAACCACATCAATGGCAGGAGACAACGATCTGTACGTGCGACGGAATTAAAATATTCAACGAATCCTACAAGTTGTGTTCATTAGTATACATCATTTTCATAACTAGATAAAATTGACTATCATCAAAAATAAGGTAACAGCCTCATTCAACAAAATTCCTGCTAATAATGACGCCATGTTACAGAGACGATGCATCATACGATATCAGCATCGCCATTGACGGCACTCGCTACGTCAACGCAAACCTGCCCGCCAAGAGCATGCAGACGTTCCTGGTGGCGGCGGCGTGAGTTGCTGTGGCATCAACTGGAGTTGCGGTCTGCTACTAATCATGAATAAAACTTTCAATTTTGGCAGAGCTGTTTATTTTGTCAAGTCTAAGCTAACAAATATTTGTGTCATTACGCGCACATTCGAACATTGAATGCATACTTAACATACATGGACGAGTATAGTATCACATACACATACGCAACATAAGACTGCCCAACTTCTACCACAGGCTGAGGTCACCGAGTGCTTAGGGCTCAGTGGTAGCTCACAGCAAGTGGCAGGTGCTTAGGCAAACAATCTCTTCTAATTTCAATTTTTACGAATTTAGAAGTATTTATCCAAATAACTTTGTGACCTCGAATTTTTGGTTGTTTGAAGAATACGGCCCGTTTTATTCAACCTAACAGACCTTTATTCATTTATCGGGGATTCCATCACAGTCGTTAGAAATCATACGGGGCGATGAACAAATAAAGAAAAACATTGCCAGTGATCGATGGAAGAGATGAGAGAAATTACAAGACTATTGGTTTCAAAATCCGCAACATAATATAAGAAATTATTTTCATCCAGAGAGCATAACTAAAAATTAAAGAGCTTGAAGCAATTTCGTAAACAAAACACCCAATAAATGAGATATGGGCATATTGAACTGAATTCAACATTAACTTTAGGAAGCAGTGTTAGTTATTTTCTAGGAGAAAGGTAATTTGAGGTAGAATAAGATGAACGTGTCGAGCAAATAAGCTTTTTGGCAATTAATACTGGCGGTGCAAAAGATCGCACCGCCGAATCTGTTGACATTTTACTACCCAAAAATTGTCCATCGCACAGAAGTGTCGAATGGATGGTCTCTAGCTGCTGAGCACTGCGAAGAAGAGTCGTTACAACTATGAACACAATCACAGGGATGCTTTCCGCAATACGATTACTTGACTTCACCATTGCAACCTGCTGTAAGATATTAAGAGATCTTTGCCGAGTTTAATGACAATGGGCACCTTAAACTTTATTCCAAAGACAAAGACAAGCAATGGAAGAACAACTTAATGAAATGCTACGATTAAATCCAAATGAAAAAATAACCTCGCAAGATTCATGGGCAAATTAGGGTCTTTATTACATGTGACAACTGAGTTGAGAAATAGAATAAAAACACGCACCATGAGATTACTTCGGCGGAAGAGCCAACAATGTATGCACTTCAAGATCAAACAAAAATTGTAAGCACGAACAGACATTGCAAGATCAGTCACACGAAGGCTTAAGTGATTTATGAACGTACAAATTAGAACGAAAACTGAAACATGGTACCAGCGCTTTGAGTTCATATGTGACTGTTTCTAAATACAATATCCGGGTTAAGAAATTAACCAATAAACTAGTGTCCTGAGATTGGTCTAAGTAGCGGCTAAGTCGAGGTCTAGCGACGACACGACGTGGTAGTCGTAGAGGAGCTGCTCGGTGTTCTCGTGCAGGGCCGAGTTGAGGTAAGGCAGGAAGTTCTTGCAGCGCGTGTAGGAGCGCAGGGTGAGCGCCCCGCTGCCGCGATGCAGCTCTCTGTACGCCGCCTCCGAGAGGTGCACGGCAGGACTTATCTTTCTGCAATGCGAGCGAGGCTCTCACTTGGGATAGGGTTTTGTATCTCTCATAGGTTATAAAAATCAATTCTTGATACAAATAATAATAATAGATATAAATAATAATTAATACAAATTTATTTGATGGGCTGTTGAAATGATGTATGTACTGGAACTATTTCATGTAACAATCTACACTGAAATTCTACTTTGAAATTGTATGCCATAAAAATCTACAATTCTCGTGCCCATTAAAGTAAAATTTCGTATTATTCTCGAATTTTTCTGCCAGCAATTACTTTCATATACATACATTTATTAAAAAAGTATTTATAAAATTTAATCCAATAGCTTACTCCAAACTGGCGCAATATATATTCAAGTCTCACTAAATTGCTCAACCCTTCCTGAGGATAAATATTAGGTAGTTTATTTTATCAACAAAATTTGAATTATATATTCATCTTAGTTCAAAGGCACAAGTGCTAGACGCAGAATTCTGACGCGTGACTGAGGTGCTTGATGACGAGCACGAGGTTCTTGACGATGCAGTGCAGAGAACTGAGAGAGTCGGGGGCCACGCCCACGGCCGTAGCTAGAACCACCACGTTGATGCTCAGCTTCGTCAGCAGAAAATTCAAGACTTCCTCCGTCAAATCGTGGTCGTTGAATTCCCTGCATTCAAACAATAGTAATCAATATCAACCAGATAAAAATTGCAGATAATTTTTGTAGTATTAGAGATCATGTCAATGAATCATTTTGGGGCATTATTTGAAATTACTTCTAGCATTCTCTTAATAACTTCGCGAAAGTACGTGCGATAGTTAAAGAAATTCGAGCAAATGAACACTGTTCAGTTGATTCGGAAGGCACGACGATTAAAACGCGTATTCATTCAATGGAAGTATATAAAAAACTCTTAATAATAAATATTTTTTTCTGTACAAACTATTAGCATTCTATCACCCAAAAACAGAGGCAATATATTCTTTGCACTCATCTAGAGGGGTAGTAGGGCTCTGAATCCATTAATCTCTATTGCTCACTTGCACCACTATTTTCAATAATCTTGAAATGACATTATTGATTTTCTGATATTTTAAAGAAAGATTGAAGCAGATTAGTACCACGCCAAACACTAACGTACATATAAACTATTACAATATTTAGCTTTGGGGGCCCCTGACTAAAGCATCACAGCATCAGAGAGAAAAGTCTCTCTTTATTCTCTGGTCACGAGGCATGGAATAAAGTGCATCACAATGGTGATTAACTGCAAACCTGGCTAAAAATATTGACTTCACAAGGGCAATGACAACTGCGAACCTGGCTAAAAATATTGACTTCACAAGGGCAATGTACAGTGTAACGGTATGCCACGCTGACTCAATCATTTGGTGACGGCAAAATTCTTCACAACATCTATGAAGTATTTTTGCCAAATTGTAGCACAGCGCGGTTGCGGAAAAAATTATCTCCTACTCTATCAAGAAGTTTAAGATTCTGTGCATGGTGGCATTCCCGTATATGTCTTATGTCCATTTTCAGACTAATTACGTGACTAGACTATTGTTACTGCGCTTGATCTTACCAACAATGACGAAGCAATTTCATGGTCTCGAGCTGTTGAAAGTTCATCTGTTGAGTGCTACAAGGTTATCGTCCAGGTCTAGGGAATTATTGAGTGTACTGGGTAATGTTTTCCTTTGTTGCTGGCTACCTAATGTTGATCGAATATAATTATTACCCTTAAAAAATTGTTGTTGATTGATTAATATCATCCATTTAGGGACAGCAACTGATAATGACACATAGGTATAACAGTACAGAAAATAAAATAGATATTAATGTATCACGCTCTCCTGCAACAGATTATTAGGTGAAATGGGACGACACCTTCGATATTTACTATCAGTGGAAAATTCGACACGCTGGGTTGCACCTTTCAATGAACTACACTTGTCATATCTACGTGTATTGTATCGGGATGGAATAAGAGCCTTTTCGTCACCGTGAAGGCAAATTTTTGCCAAACTTTTGGTACATCCCTCTAAGTATGCACTGAAGAGAAGCGTGTAACCGAAGAGCTACTGACGCGTGTGAGAGGTGATGGGGCAGGACGACCTGCATGAGGCAGGCGATGATGTTGACGAGGAGCGTGACGTGCGTGAGCGCCGCCGTGATGCTCAGCACCCGACACGGCATCTGGTCGCGACCCACCGCCCAGTCCGGGCACGTCGCCTCCACGACCTCGTCGCTGGTATGCACGTCTGGAGTCAACATTTAAATAAATCAGAAAATTTATTCTATATCCTAAAGAACAACATTCCTCTTGAATATTTCAATCGTAGGTCATTGTACAGTTGTAACCTAAGAAGCAGCTTCATCATTCAGCAGCTTGTAGGTGCCTGATGTTGACCAGCAGCTTGTAGATGCTTGGTAGCAAGCTCACCATTTGCACTACACCACTAGATACTATGGATCAGAAAGTAATTTGTGCCCCCGACAACGCACATGCAGCTAGCCATGATATGTAGGCCTGTCAACAGCCTAAGATATCTTAGAGGTGTGCTTTTTTGCATCAGTTGGATAACTACATGCACATACTTATATATTATAGGCATTTTTTTAGAACAAGAATCGAATTAAAACTGTTAGAAGTTAAATACTAATTGCAGCTCTTCTCCCACATTCATAACATTAATTGTATACTTGCCGATGCGTAACTTCAAATGCATACATAGCAAATACGATTTTCTGAATTTTTCAAGCCAGACCTTAGATGCATGCTTAGAAATGGCGTGGTGCATGAATAGGGTGCATGAATAGAAGTTTAATTATTTACGAAGCACTTATTGTGGCGTCTGGTTCAAACGAATTTCGATGGCATGTGACACATTGGTTGAATAGCAAGCGAGAAATAAATGGAAACGAGGAAGGATAAAAATGACCAAGCACTTGATTTACCTATAGGCTCTACGAAATAGTTCGTCTTTAATCATATCTAGGCTGTAAGTTTCCATGAAGTTCCGAGCCCATCTTTATGGGCAAGAAGGTAATGATAATCATCTAACTATTAGGCATGAATTGACGGTTGTCTGAAATTGTAGCACACAAAATCATATTCGACCAAAACAATGCCAACCTGAGGCTGTAACTTATCTAGATCGCGCAAATTAAAAATTTAAAAATCTTCAACCAGCTTAAGCCTTCAAAATTTTTCTTGCACAGACTTAGGCACACGCTCCTTTTGTGCCATTACTTTTGCTAGAGTTTTAATTATATTTATACTTCAACACGTTATGGATCCTATTCATATAGCCATTCATTCTGCACAGTGAACTGGAATTTTAATGCTCTTCATAAAGCATAATGTGATCGTCAAAAAATGTCTCTGCAATGTAGCAAAACATTTTGGCAAAAGTGACGTGTGCCGCCATAAGCACTCAACCCATAGATGTTTCAGCAATTGAAACAGAATGTGAAATTTGGCTTCCTCTTCCNATAAGCACTCAACCCATAGATGTTTCAGCGATTGAAACAGAATGTGAAATTTGACTTCCTATTCCGCCTCATTTCAACAGAATTTTATAACTACTTTAAATTTCTCATAAAAACTACTTCCAATAATACCATCAGATTATAGCTACGTACAAGTTGATAGAAATGCATACAGGTATTTTTTCATCAATTTAATTTCTGTAAATTTTAAAGTGGATTTAATTTCTTCTATGAACTTGATTCGTAAGTGTAAAGAGCGATCATTTAAGTCATTCATAAATTCTACAGAACATATGGTATGGCTGGACTGCAATTTGGATAAAAAGAGTAGCTAAATTTTCTAGTCATTTTCATTGATGAACTAGTTGATACTATTTATTGCAGTTAGAAATAAATAAATTGGACTGTTACTAACCGCTTGGTATGAAGTTCAGGAGGGACCCTGAGCCTGGGATTAGCAATTTACTGATGGAATACAAAGAGAAGGAGTAAGCGTCGTCAATGGACCACAAGGAGCCCTCAGGAGCTTGCATCATTAGTTGTAAGGGACCCGCACCTTCACCACTGTGAATGATATGTTACATTAGGATCTATATAATGGAAACAGTATGCTTAAGGGGACCGGCTACCCTAAAATTCTCAATTTTGGCGTTTTCCAGTTTTTATGCTTATCTTAAAGCTTACTTTCTGACGCATCGAACGGTACCAGAATCATCTCTCTACGTCGAAAATTGATTTCGTGACAGCTCCCCAAAGGGGGCGGTTTTGAGGCCCCTACAGTATAAAGTCATGGATTAATTCGAAGGCTAGACACACTAAAAAGGAACGTCTGACGTAAAGCGGCCAATTATGGCATTATCCGGTGTTTATACTCATCTTAAAGCTTACTTTCTGACGCGTGTAACGGTACCAGAATCATCTTTCTACGTGCATTTTTACATACACAACACACCGTGGAACAGGGGGCGGTACTGGGCGGCCTTCAGTAATCCCTATGAGAGTAGTTCGAAGGCAGGACTATAAATACAGCCTGCTGTCGCCAAAGCAGTTAGTGCCAATCACGACAGCGAGGTGAGAGGTGTGCAGCCAGTTGCTCTATGCCTTCCTGACTTGGTTTGAGGCTTAGTTACGGCATCTAGGCTACGTTACGACTCTTTTACGTCATTTTACGTGCCACGCGCCAGTTTTTTGGGCGTGGTGAAAACCTCCTATTGCTCTCACGGCAAACCTATATCCTCCTACAGTTTTCAAGCTACAGCAATGAGACATATACCATTCGATTCGTAAAGACCATACCTATCGATTTGAACATCACTTTTTTGAATTTCTGTCTGGTTCGTTTTTTTATATGGGGGAGAAGGGGGGGAGGGGGGAAAATGAGAAAACCCATGTTTGAATCGACAGGTATGGTCTTTACGAATAGAATGATACGTGTCTCGATGTTGTAGGATGATATTTGTAGGAGGAGATAGATTTTCTAAAGTACCCGTTTTTAGCCGTTTTCTATGAATTTCACTTTTCTATCAATTTTTTCGCAAAATTCATAGAAGCAAAATTTTTTTTTTACATTTTACATGTTTATGTGAAGTTTCATGATGATCGGAAAATAACTGTAGAAGTTTTTCCGGAGGGTAGCAGATCCCCTTAAAGTAGTAATATGAAATGTAACAAATAGAATATAAATTAAAAGCATGGAAATTATCATTTGCACATGGCATTCTTACACCGTCATCACTGGGTAAAAAGAATTGCACAGCAATAAAGTACTTTGAAAGCACATAAAAAGCCAGGTAGAAAGTAATGCAGGGAAACATCTACAGACATGGATTAACTTGAATTGTCAGGAGACATTAATCATTTAGTTGAATTGAGCACTGGCCTGGTTGCTTTACAGGAGCATAAAAGGCACAAAAATGAATCTGAGATAAGTTGGCCTCACATAATCTGTGTTTTCAAGTAAAAATGGGCTAACTTTATATTATTTTGTGACAAAAATTGGTTTCCTCAGTATTGATTTCTTGGTCTAATTTAGTCCGTGTGCATGAATTTTGATGTAAAAAGTAAAAATATTTTTTATTGGAGAATACTATAACAATGTGAGTTAACTAGACGTTTGTGTCCTCTTAGCGATTGCATTAATCAACATGAAATAATCTAGGCCTATACTTTCAAAAAAATAAGAGATCCTAAGTTCATCAGCCAATCATTGACGGCCTTTCTAGCAAAATCCACCGATGGCAGACAAGAAAATAGAGCATAAGTATTTACGTTCACTTAGTGAGTTTTGAAAGTATGGCCCCAGCTTTGTTCAACTGCATGGTGGAATCGTTGCTTCATATCATTTTCCTTACTTTAGCATTAATTATGTAGCATTATTCACCTGTGACGTTCCCCCAAATACTCGAGAGGAAACACAAAGCGCAAGAGATCATCAATGAGTGCGCAGCTATGAACCTTGAGGCGACCACTAATGTCTTGCAGCTCCTTGTAGTGCATAGATGCCTGCAAGAAATGTTCAAAGACATTCTAAGAATTATTCACTCAAGTTATGATACAATTCAGAAATAATATAGGATTATGGACATTTGGATATTTGACAAGTTTATACAGATTGGAGCAAAATTATTGTATTTTTAATGAAAATGATTGTTCATTTGCATTTCAACACTTAAGGTAGAAATATTTTCAACAGTACATTTAGAATAACAAAAACAATAAAGGGATCATGAATGATAGTATTCAAGTATTGATGATATCCTGAGTACAAACTACCGTACGGTACGGTACTTTCTATAAAATTGTTTCACCTTTTTCTTGGTTGAAGCCAACATTTCCTTGGCCGGCGCCATGCTGCTACGGTAACGCAGGTTGATTCGATGTCTATGCTCGATCATACTGTCTGTGCGCTGCGATTTTTTGTGCACTGCTCATTTGTAGTGTTTGATTAATGAGCAATAGTAGTGAAAAACTTAAATGTCAGCCATAGCTTCATAGATATAGTCATAGATATGCATAAAATGGTTATTTGAATAATTAATCTTGAATGTTACCTTACATATGATTGTACAATAATTTAGGTCAAATGATTGTTTACATTGTAAATTAAATGTAAATTCATTTGCCAAGAATATAGCAAGAAAATTCACCCAAATTTTAAACATAACAGTCTATAGTCTTAGACAAGCCCAATTAACATAAAAAAAAATTAATAATATATATTTCATAGATTTGAATGAGAAATTTGCATGGTAGTTATTGAAATCAAAAATAAAACAAAAGAAGAGAAAGTGACAGGACTAAACTAATCTATTAACAATGTTAAGTGGAAGGGTATTATTTAAATAGAATGGTTTCTTTTTAAAATGCCTACTGTTTTTAGAGTATGAAGCAAAGGAAGATATTCAGCAGCAGGATTTCATGAAATCCATTCTTTATTTAAATTTCCCGTCACCTTCGTTTTATCATTAGACAATATTTCCAATCTCAGTTCACATTAAATACATATATTTAAATGTTCAAGCAAATTTGAGAAACATGTTATGTCATTTTCACTTAAATTGTTTATGTGACTTTCAATGGGAAAATTCTTATTGATAATCCTTGAATTAAAATTTATTCTTTTAATTGATTAAAATCCCTGCCAAAAATATTAAAATAGTTCAAGATATTATTCTGAATATTTTTTCACAGCATGCATTAGTTAAATGCCTTGTATTGGTCATTACAAAGGCACAATCAAAGCTGTTAAAGTCGGTACCATAACTGAACAAAATTATAGGATAAATGATGAAGCATTGCAATGCAAAATATGGGGGAAATAAGTCTAAAATAGAGTGTAAACATTCAAAATGACAAGGAATTAGAGGCCAGTTGTCTCAGCCTGCATGGTATATAAGTGGGTAGCTCCTTGGGCAAGTTTGTATCTGATGCAACACTGTTAGTGTTAAGCTTATTACTGCTGAACACTTTAACACAGCAGCATCCACTGGTGATTTAAATTTCACCTTTTACCTGATGATTTATAATCTCGGTTCATTCTTTAATGTTAAAATATTTGGTTTATAGTACAATATTTGATTTATAAAAATATTTTTGCTTTTAATATTTATTAAAAGCATTCTTTAATATTATTTATTTATTCTTTAATATTTAACAATAATATTGATATAGGTATACAAAGGTACATACCTATACATGAATAATAACTTCTATTATAAATTCGTTATTTACCTATATTGATTGTGCCAGAATTTTTCAAGGGATGAGAATGGATCTGGTCACTAAAAAAAATTATTCTTTATAAAGTGAATTTTGGTGGTATAACATTCATGGCACAAGGAATGTTAAGGTTGACAAGCAAACTCCAAGTAATAAAACATGAATGAAAAATAAACATAAAATTTTTGTCCTTGGTATGAGAGTACCGTACCGGTACAATGTTTTAGGATTGAAGAAAGCAGTTTCCATGCACATAATGGAAATTTGTTCACCTAACTCATAACCTGATTTAAACCTTCAAGCTTCTTACAACTTGATGCTAGCAGTGGTTTCCAGTAATGCCTTAAATTTCAAAGAAATATTTATCACAAATTCTAAACAACTTACAGAGATCATTATTCCTCTTCAGTTCAATGGCTGTGTTTTGCATGTTTTCATTCTTCTTCTTCTGTTTCTCAATTTGAATCATCTGAAATATAAAGTCATTAGTTTTATATTAAAAAATTGATAAACTGCATGATTCTGATAACAAGCTTCAAACAAACAGCCTCACAAAGTACATCAAACATATTCAAAACTATTTATTCAGAAATTAAGATCTTCAGTACAGTACAGTACTGAAAATTATTATAAAAAACATAACTAATGAACAAGTAACAGTGAATTAAATATTTCAGAGTAACTACTACACATGACATTTGAAAATATCAAGATGATCCTTGAAACAGAACAAATAAACTTTTTAGTAAGATGATAAGAAATAAAAAATATACCTATTGCAGAAATAGCCCTTTACCAAAAGCGATGCTCGTTGTTTTTCTTGATCAAGTTCTAGTATTTTCTGCTCCAGAAGCTTCATCTTTCCTCTTATTCGGAACACATTCACGCAGATATCCATGTACCTGCAAATACAAATAACTTGCTGACCTCTAGCTTGAAACCATAACAAATCATGACAATACTTACATCTAAAAGAGCGACTAAAATGCTACTTTTCTACATAGTCACCTAACCAATTAAGGCACTTATCATGGCAGTGGACAAGCTTTAAAATTCTTTCATCATAGAAATCAGCTGCCTGTAATATCAGCCACTCAGTGACTAAGATTGTGTGGGAAATTTTCCCACCTCCACCCTACAGTCCCAACCTAGCACTGAGTGATTTTCACTTGTTCCCAAAGATGAAGAACTGGCTAGCAACACAGCATTTTGATGATGACAAGCTCTGGGCGTGCGTCACTTGAGTGGCTGAGAGATTGCAGGCGGGAGATTTCTATGACAAAGGAATTTCAAAGCTTGTCCACTGCTATGATAAGTGCCTTAATTTGTTTGGTGACTATGTAGAAAAGTAGCATTTTAGTCACTCTTTCAGATGTATGTATATAGAAGAATATTTTTCCTGGGCCTAGTTTTTGTTTTATTACACAACATTCCCTACTTTCTGAATAGCCCTTGTTTCAGTATTTTACACTTTAGCATTAGAGTTTCTTGAATTTTCAGCCGCAACTTTGATTTATTAATTAAAACAGTAGTACTTGCCAGAACAACACATAGGTCCTACGGTTAATTTTTATGACCCATACTGTATGCATGAATTTACACAGATAATTTTCAAGGTTATCAGAGGCAAGCCAAAAATTAAATATTTGTTATTTTAAGTTAATTGGATAGCAGGGGCATCACCAGGTCTTGAGGACAGGGGAGCTAAGATCCCTAAGATTTATAATAATATTGAGGTTAATAATTGACTTCTTGTAAGATTTTCTATACCAATTTATATTTATACCAAATTATGTTGAATTTTTAGGGATTTCTTTTATAAAAAATTAATAATGACTAATAAACAAACATAAAATCATTTGCAGGGACTTTTGGATATTCTAGGGTTGCTACACCCCTCTAAAAAAAGCCTAATGATTTCACTGTAAAATAGTATCAAAAATGAAATGTTGACATAATCTTGGTAAGCTACTGTTAGGATTAAAACAGTGGTATATGATTGTGAAGGTGCCTATCAAATAATATGAATGATGAGTTGTGGATAAGACATATACTAGAGACAATTCACCAACCTTTCTCCATCACTTTCATATTGACTATGACAAAATGTTCCAGAATTTAAACATTCAACACAGTAAATGACTTGTGATTTTGCATTACACAAAGGACATCGTACCCTAACATCACGGTTCAACATAGAAGAAGCTGTGCTTAACATTTCAGAAATAATTTGAACCATTTCATCTAATATGAGGCAGTCTTTTATCCTGTTTTATTTTTTTCAACTGATAGCTCTGCACAAAAAAAAAAATATTCAATCATAAATTTGGTTTGCACATCATCTAGGTTAAATTATTTAGCAACAAGCCTCATAGCAAGCAAGAACTAGAGATATTTCTCAGCATAGCTCTTCTTATACATAAAGATTCCATATCAAGAAAACATGCATGGTTCTTGACACATATCTCTGAGCCCTTTCAGTCCCAAGCAGCAAAACATAGAGAAGCAAAATTAGTATGGAGTTATTACTTGCCCAAATTAGCAATCTATGCAGGGCTTTAAAAACTAAATGTCTTCTGTCCTGAGCTTGCAAAGGAAAACTGCTGATTTGCCATTTTGGTTGGTTGTGGTTTGCATGTCATTAATAAGTCATTTGTGCACATACCTATAACTAGTTTTAGATGGCAGAATTTGTTGATTTATATGCGTGCGATTAACGACCAGAGAATAAGTTGATTTAAATTATCAAAGAGTCGGACAATTCTTCAGATGACATTGGTAGATCAAAAGGCATATATCAGGAAGTAGTTTAGTTTATTAACGACGTTTCGAATGTAACAAACATTCATTTTCAAGTTACAATGAGCATTAAATATTGAAATTCTGGTGGAAATAAGTACATAATATATGTAAATGGGATACTATAGTAAAATTTTGAATCAAAAAATCACTCTGAAAATCATTTCAAAGTTCAGCCAAATCCGGTAGTTATAAAAGTGGTAGCAGGCGTCCAAGTCGTAGAGACGATGAGGCTAGCCATCTTCGGTCAATTAATGTCAGGCCACTGCTTGATGACAATGCTGGTGGGTTCCCTCAGCGCAAAGCGAGTGACGGTCTGGTTGTGAGATTGTCGCATGTGGTTCCCTTGCCCTCCGGGTTGGAGGTAGCTAATGAGACAGCGTCTCGGTGTCTTGGTTGTTGAGGGAAAACGCGAAAATGGCGCTCGCAAAAACTCGGGAGTTTTCCGAGAGGCCGTTGTGGTCTATAAATTTTGCTTCAAAGAAGGTTGTAGACTTCTTCATCTCATGGACTACATCGGACACTTTGGATCAACAACCAAGACACCGAGACGCTGTCTCATTAGCTACCTCCAACCCGGAGGGCAAGGGAACCACATGCGACAATCTCACAACCAGACCGTCACTCGCTTTGCGCTGAAGGAACCCACCAGCATTGTCATCAAGCAGTGGCCTGACATCAATCGACCGAAGATGGCTAGCCTCATCGTCTCTACGAATTGGACGCCTGCTACCTCTTTCTTAACTACCGGATTTGGCTGAACTTTGAAATGATTTTCAGAGTGATTTTTTGATTCAAAATTTTACTTTAGTATCCTATTTACATATATTATGTACTTATTTCCACCAGAATTTCAATATTTAATGCTCTTTGTAACTTGAAAATGAATGTTTGTTACATTCGAAACGTCGTTAATAAACTAAACTACTTCCTGATATATGCCTTTCGATCTACCAATGTCATCTGAAGAATTGTACGACTCTTTGATAATTTAAATCAACTTATTCTCTGGTCGTTAATCGCACGCGTATACCTATAACTTGGTATAATTTCAATGCAAAAGAGCTTTTAATGCTGCACACAGGGATTTCAGAAATGCTTACACAGAAATCTAGTCAAATTGACAGGGGGTTTATGAGAAATAATACCTAAATTTGACATAAATTGATTGCATAATAAAAAGCATCAGTTTATGGAAAATGCAATACAAATAGAATAATCAAATGTCTAATAATTCATTTATCTGATAACAAACCATGACTAGAATATAACTAATACCTAGTTTATTTGAGTGGGCTTGCAGGTGGTGAGGCCTACTCCTACCTACTGCCTCTTCTCATAAAGAGAAATGGAGTGGGGAGGGGTGAGAAAGCCAGATATGTTCTTGAAAATGAAATCGAACACTTGAGTTATACACTCGTAGCATATACTATAGAGAAGCAAATTCAAAATCAAGTTGATGGATGTTCCAAGTATTATGTTGATCACAAAGGAAAATATTAATTTTATCTCAGAGGAATCACAGAGCACAATGGTAAGGTGTTTACTTTATGAGTGTCGCTGACTCTCTCTCACATCCATTGGACTGTCTCTAATCAGGAAAGCCTGTCAGATTAAACCACAGCTGTGCTTTGAATGGACTATCATGATCCTAAAGAACGTAGCCTATAACACTTCTTGACTATAACATTATCAGCTGCAAGCCACCAGACCGGCATGGAATATATCTATTTGGCAAGCCACAACTTTTTGAGCCGTGGTTTTATGGGTTTGCCAGCCATGATTCCATTTCTTCAAGCTGTGAATTCCATATCTTGCTATTGAAAGCCATTTACAAGCAGCAAACCTATTTACCAAGTCCCGTGCACGTGACACCCCAAATCACTAATTTTACTCTAAAAACAGTCAAACAGTAACACTACCATTTGCCTACACTTCAGTGGCAACTGAACATGCAATAATGCAGTCTGACACTCTGACGTGACCACAACTACAAGATCTTCAAGGAAATGTTTTGGTTTGACTTGTTGTTATTACGTTCTGCAGGATATTTTGGCTGAAGTATCGAGGTAATGCAGATTTTAGAAGTTGAAAATTTTATGAAACAAGCAAACAACATATTTGCACAGTGCAAACCACCATTTTTTCAATCAAATAGAAATAAATGACACTAGAGCCACAAGATTTCATACCTACTGAAATTCTATATTAGAGCCACAATATTTCAGAAAAAATAGGACTTCTCAGAACCTGCGTGACAGCAGCTGCGGCAACTTGCTTTGTTGATAATTCTGAATTTGAAATCAAAACCTGGTTTCAAGTCTTCAACAGCCTAAATTTCTGCCTAAAAATTTGAAAATTCATGTTTATGCATGAATTTCAATGCTGTTAACATTGAGAAACTTCAAAGTATCTTGCATGCAAGAAATATTCACTAAATAAATGTTATTACCACGTTTTTCTTGACTTCGTTTCATGCGTTTCTGTCATCAAAAAATCAAACCTTAATTTAGAGCACTCTAAACATCCTAGTAAGTTGAAATTTGGCATGCATGCTTATGCTGCCTAACAATTAAAGATTTGATCATCAGAAATAATAATTTGAAAAAAAAATTTTAAATAAAAAAAATTGAAAAAAACACTAAAAATTCATGGTTTGGAATTGAGTCTTTTCTTGAATATCCACACTTGCCAACCCTGTAAATTTATTTGAATTGCTAACTAAAAAGTAGAAAATAAATATATATAAAAAATATTTTTAAAAACCACGTTTTTCTGGTTTTTACAAAACTAAAAATAGTGAAATAAAACAAATAAAAAAAACTTTTAAAAACCACGTTTTCTTAACGGACAAAAAAGAAAAACATTTACTCTTACATAAGTAAATGTTTTTCTTTTTTGTCCATTAAGAAAACGTGGTTTTTAAAAGTTTTTTTTATTTGTTTTATATCCAACATAAACATCACTTGAAAACTGAGTGATCCAAGCAATCCAAGTTGGATCCACTCAATTTTGGAGTGACATTTTTATCAAAATTAAAATTTATTTAGCAAGTATTTCTTGCACAAAAGATACTTTGAAGTTTCTCAATGTTAACAGCATCAAAATCCATGCAGATATGTAAATTTTTAATATATTTTAGGCTCCTAAGGACTTGAAACCAGGGCTTTTGATTTCAAATTCAGAATTTCAAAATTCAAAACAAAGCTAGCTGCTAGCTGCTGACAGGACAGACCTGCCCCTTTTCTTTATTCAGTGTTTAACCAGCTTTTGCTTGGAAAGGTGCCAGGGCTGGCAATGATTAAATCAAACTGATTAAATCATGTGATTAAATCGCTTGATTTTTTTTTCTTCAATTTTTTAAATATATTGAGTGGCAGTCTTTAATTTATTTTGAGGTATTGTTATTCATGGTTTAGTATAAATGTCCTATGACAAATTGGAATATGAACCTGTTGCCTTTAGTGTGTTTTATATTCCAATGAATTGTATGTTTTTGGTACAGAGGCAACAAGTGTTGCAATACATTGTACATAGCTAGCAGCTTAGCTAATTCTTATAGGGCTATAAATAGTTTTTAACTATCTATTTGATTATTTGTTATATATTACCGTCAACCGGGGCTACTCAGGACAGTTTTGAGCATTTTTTTGTTAATAACTGTTAATAACTTCTTATGATGAAACATTTCATAAACAAGTTTGGCTCATTTTATAGCTCTTTGCGAGGGCTATCAAATGGCATTGTCAAAAAAATTCCATATGCTATTTGTAAAGTGCCAGAAGCAAAAAAAAAGTGTCCCGAGTAGCCCTGTCAAACGGGGCTACTCAGGACACTTGCAATAAAACTTTATTTTAAAATATTTGAAGCATGCAGAGTGTACTCATCCATTACTAACAGTACTCTGAAGTCCTCTTTCATTGTAGATGATGTAGAGGTAGAATAAATGACATTTTCTGTGATTTTTACTCATTTTTCCTTTATTGATATATTACCATAAACATTAATTCCCGTCAACTGGGGTGACTTAAGTGCCTTTTTGATTTTGTTTTGCAAACAAAAATGGGGTCATAAACGCCAGGGTCGTAAACGATGTCATAAATGCCAGAGTGACTTTGGCCATCGTTTATGACTCTGCTTTTGTTTGCAAAACAAAATAAAAAATGCAGCCAAAGTCACCCAGCGGCTGAAGTCACCCCAGTTGACGGTACCGTATTATTGATGCGATATTACTGTATTATTGATGCGATATTACCGTATCTATGAACGTGCCATTGAGCATTTACAACGAACTTGTACACTGCAACTTGCAAGCTTCATATCAGCAGCCTTATAGCATTTTTTTCTGTATCTGTAAGCTTACAGGACGGATTGTAATTTCACACCATTTTAATTGGGTTAAGTGAATTTACTATAAAAAAATATAACTCAGTACTCACTACTCACTGCAGTGACAGAGAGCGCATTTTCTCGTGGACGAAAACTTGAGGTCACGGA